ATAGCGACCCTATGGGACAGAGTAGAACGGCCCCATAGGGTTTCCAAGGTTGTCATCTTTACAGAAGCAGACTGCCACATCTTTCTTCTGAAGAGCAGTTGGTGCGTTTGAACCACAAACCTTTCAATTAGCAGCTGAGCACTTAACCACTGCACCACCAGGGCTCCTTGAGGGTCATACAGGGTCAGTCATTTAGGTGGAAAGAGGGCCTGAAGTGAGGCAAGACCACAGCTTGGGAAGTCTCCCAATAAGTCTTCACCTTACAGGAGGGGAGACCAAGGCCCCAGGGCGCGACTATGTACGTGGCAGATAGGGCCAGGGCCAGGCAGTGCCCTTGGGAGGGCTGTCGGGGGTGCAGGAGGGCCTGCACGTGGGGGTTGGGTCTAGCCAGGGGGAGCGCTAGGACTCAGCCGCCTCTCACACTCCAGGGCTCCGAGAACAGGCCACAGAGGAGCAGGCACCACTAGGTCCTTCCTGAGGCCCAGGATCCGCCTCCCCAACAGAATGAGGCCCCTCAGAGCACCCTCTGCTCCCACTGACCCCCCACCACCCACTCAGAGCTCCCAGAACAAAACCAATGTGTCGTCTCAGTTTGTCCCCAGCACTGAAGCTACATAAGTCTGCACCCAAGACGTCCTTCCAAAGAGCAGCCAGGCCACCTTGGACCTGTTGTCACTAAGAAAAGTGTCCCCTCCTCAGAAGACAGCAGGGAAGCACAGACTTGACCACCACACCCAGCTCAAATGCCTCCCCTGGCTCAGGATCATCCCCAGATGAGAACAGCCTTCCTGGCCTCACAGACGCAGCCTCCCTGCCTGTCACATGCTGGTATCATCACACCACCCCTGGGGGCTTCACCACTGTCCAGACCTCTGGTACAGCCCTTATCCTAGTGCATTATAGTGGTCTTGTCTCCTGCCCGCAGCCCGGGGCCTGTGAGCAAGCGGATGTTGTCTTACTTGTTGTTTTACCACCAACGCTTAAAGGACACCGTCAGTGTTAGCTCTTATTCTTATTATTATTATTATCATCATCATCTTCATTACTCAAAGGCTGAAAACCTCTGGAAGGGGTGCCCTGGACTGTGAGACAGCATCCTTTCCTATTCCGCAGGTCTGGCCAGGCCGGCCGAGCCCAGGTGTTGAGAAGCAGCTCCGCCACTGCCGCCTCTCCTCCTTCCCTCCCCATCCTTCTCCTCAGAAGCTCCCAGGAGTTGCTGCTTTAGAAACAGGAGCAGCGGAAGCGTGGCCCAGAGCCAGGTGCTTAACGTGCATTATCTCCACTAGAGCTGGAGTCAGAACTGAACTCTCCGGGGCTCATCCCCTCCTCCTGCCTTGCCTCTCTGCTGGGCAGCCTCCAACCCACCTCAAGCTTTAGCAGGCCCTCCAAATGGGGCGCTGAACCCTAAAGTCATATCCCCGGAGGCCCAGAGAGGGAGGACTCACTGGTGGAGGGGATGGGGGTTCCCCAACCCCACCCCAGCAGGGAAGGGCTGAGATGAGCAAGAGGATGAGCCTGGGGTCTGAGGGTCGAACCAAGTTCATTTTAAACCCCATTCTTAATCTAGGGTCGGGAGGGACAGGGTAGCTTATCAGAGCGAGCTGGACAGGGGTCTCAGAGGGCACCAAGTTCAGTCTCTCAAGGAGGCGTTCTGAAAAAGAGTGGCCCAGCCTCTCAGGGACACAGTAACCCTGGAGGCAGCCATCCCCGGGTGGGACAGCTCAAATGGCCATTAACCCCACTGGTGATGCTACCTCCAGTTCCTCACCCTTGGTGTGGAGCCAGTGTGGGCCACGGGCAGCTAGAGCCGCTGCAGCAGACATCTGCCCACAGTCCCAGCAGCATTTAGGCCCCAAACCTTTGTTCTTCTGCCTGCAGCCCTACCTGACAGGCCCATCATCAGTTACTTCTGCAGCCTAAGGCCCTAAAGCCCCAGTTAAAATGCACCCACGTTGGGAAGGAACTATGAAGTTATCATCCACACACCTTGTTGTAAATTACTTTCCCAGACCACTGCGGGGTGCAAGGGGTTGGAAAGCAAGCAGGCCTGTGGGAGTCATTCACATTTCAGGGAAGAATAGCAAGGGACCCCCGGCAGCCCTGAGCTGCCTGAGAGGGACTGTGTGCCTGAAATCAGGGGGAGGGGCACTGCAGAGACCCAGCCTGGGCCCAAGTCCCCGTCCCAGGGCCCCTTCCCAGCAACGACAACACAGCAGCTGTGTCAGGCAGCCGGGTGGAAGCCCAGGACTGCATGTGAATCTGGACCCCCTATGGGGGAGCCTCCACTCCATAAACATGCCTCCTGACCCAGAGAGGGCAGGGGCAACCCCTGGATGGGCAGGTTTGGGCTCTCACCACTCTGCCACCTCCCATGCCTGCAGGGGTCTGGACACTCTCTCCCTCCCGCCACCCCTAGCCCTCCTAGCCACCCAGGCCCCACATAGCCCACAGCTTCTTGTTGGTGCCTGATGACTGCAGGCTTGTGTTAGGAGCAAGAACGCTTCTACTTGCTTTTCCTTTTTCTCACCTGACCACCCCTCGTTCCCAAACACTCCAGACCAGGGAGTGTTCAGTTGCCACTTGATGGCGGGGACCATGTGGTAAACGGTTTTGATCCTACACCGTGTGTGGAACATAGTGGGCGCTCGATAAATGTTTACTGAATAAATGAAGAACTTGGAGAGAGGAGAGTGTACCGAGGAGATCTTTAAGACGCCCCTCTCTAGCTTGGGGACCACTGCAGTGGTCACATGGGCCTGTAGGGGTGAAGGTAAGGGATAACACCCGAGTAGACAGGGTGGGCAGGGAGAGGAGGCCTCCTGGGGTTTCTGGACTCCCCTAGGACCCTGCCTGGGTTCCAGGCAGTGGTGTGGCAGGGCTGAGCCATATGGGCCAAGCATGTCCTCAGTCCCCTCTCCCCAGAAACACATAACCAAGTATGATTTACTGTTATACCTTCGCAAGCCTTTTCATAGAAATGGTCCCACAAATGAGGAAAAAATATTTGTTCGTCTAATTTTTCTTAGGGGATTGGTTCCCCAGACAGAATCTCAGTGAGGTGAGTTCTCAGAGGCCCAGACTGGGAGGCCAGGAGAGGAGGAAAATAAAGCCGGTGAGGCTCCAGCTGCAACTTAGACACCAGGATGTATCCAAAGATGTGCCCACCGGACAGGACATCTCAAGTCCCCAAGCAAAAGGGAAGGGCGAGGGGCCCCCAAGAAGGCCAACAAACACCCTTCCCTAGGGTTGCATCCCCTCATTCTCAGGGGCCAGCTAATCCAAAGTCCAGAGCAGATATCTGCCAAGACTAACTCAGGCTAGCTTCTCTGGGCTTCAGTGTGGCCACACATTTCCCAGCCAGGGGGGTGGGGGTGGGGTGGGGGGCAGAAAGAGCAGAGGGGAACAAACAGACAGAAGTAGACAGACAGAGGGGAAGATGACAATTAGCAATTAAGGACTCAGACAGCAGAGGCACAGTTACCCAGAAGGTAAGCCCAGAAGGATCTGAGCAGGACACCTGAGAGAGTGAGGGCTCCAGGGTCATCAGATGCTTACAAATCTGACTGCTCCAGAGCACACCAATGGCCCATGCTTACAAAGGCTGTGGGGTCAAGTCTTGATTGTCCAGATAAACTACCGAAAATGGGGAGGGGGCGCTTCTGGAAAGGGCTCGAATTACGACCACCAGTCCCAGCGGGCAGACCCAGGGTCAGCTGGCGTGTCCTGAGTTTCTTCTTATAGGAAATACGTCACTATGGATATAGTCTGAGTCTGCATGACCACGAAGGTCATTAGGCAAAGACAGACGGGACCCCACTTCCTACAGTCCCTCTAGGCAACCTCGCCCCGTACTGCTGGAAGACAGGCTGGGGGTGTAGACAGGAAGACAGGAAGTACCCTGAGGCCTTGTCCTGGCTGCAGTTCCGAATTCCAACAAATTCTGGGCTGGGCAGGCGGTAGGGGGTTAGGGGGTTGGAGGAGTGGTATTGAGAGGAAAAAGACATGTTCCTACCCTGGAATTTCCATCTGTACAACACCCTCCCCAAGGAAACTTCACCATTTAAGGAGGCACCGTAGGTGCATTTTAGGGGCTCGTTACCCTGAGGGTGGGCAAGGCAATGGGGACTACAATAAACAAATGTGCACTGGTGCTCTCTATCCCAGACACACGCTCCGTGCTTTTAGGTGGTAACTCATTTAGTCCTCAAGGCGGCCTGTCAGATGGGTGCTTCCACCAGCCCCATTCTACAGAGGAGAAAACCGAGGCACGAAGAAGTTCAGAAACTGGTCCAAGATTACACAGCTAGTAGGTGGCGAACCAGGACTCAAGCTCAGGGCCGTTTTCTGCTCTACAACCTGCCATCTCCGTCTCCCCACCTGTACAATGGGGAGGTTGGACCAGATGGTCTCTAAGGTGTCTTCCAGCATGCAAGATTTGATGTGATTTCAAGGGAAACCAAAAGCTGGTCTCTGCTGGGCATCTTCAGCCCACTCTCCCTTTCTGCCTCATCTCCCAGGTCTCCAGGACACTGCCGGCTCCAATCCAGGAACCAGGGGCAGAAGGGCCTTCCACTCCTGCCTTCAGTGGGTGAGGAGGAGGCTGGGTCAGGGGAGGACGTGGAGTGGGGGGGGACATGGAGAAACGGTACCTGCCCAGCCTGCCCATCCACAGCTCCGCGACCAGCCAGAATGCCGGCCGGGGAAGTTCACCAGGAGTTTACAGACCTCCTTTGTCACCAAGTGCCGCTTGGAGACATCAATCACACCCTTAATTTACCCGTGTCACTTTCCAGAGGAAAGCCTCCCCGTGAGCAGCCAGTGGCGCTTCCTGTCTCACCCACTTGATGAGGATTTCATCTAACTGGTCCAGGTTAAATCACTCCCCGGATTACTACAGATTTAGTGCAGATACTGCAACAGTGGCCTGGGAATCCACAGAGGGCCACCCCAGCTCGGGGCCCAGGGGAGGGGAAACCTGGAGAGCCCAGAGTGGGGCCTGCTTAAAAGGGGACCTAGGGGTAAGGTCAAGGATAAGTGGGGGCGCAGGTCAGGGAGGAAAGAGGAGGTGGAAGAGTGGATGCGGGATGCCCAGAGTCACAGCGGCCCCCATCCTCCCCACCCCTGGATGCCCGGGGAGACCCTTGCTACTGGGAAGCTGGGTGCCTCGCACTGCCTCACCCTCCTCATGGACGTAGACTGGGTCCTACCCTCCGTCTTGCTTCCTCTAGCTTCATGTGAGCAGAGATCCCGAGGGCCGGGGGGAACCTTGCCCGGCACTGCCTGGCACTGACGCCTGACTGGAAATGCTGAAGCAGACCATCTTCGGAACCACAGCTGCGCCCAGTACCTTCCCTCCTCACATATTTTCCGAAGCACACAAGGCTTTGCACAGGCCATTCCCTCTGCCTCAGATGCTGTTCCCTGCTTTATCTGCCTGGTGACTTCCTGGTTGTCCTGCTGGTCCCAGCTCAGACATCACTTACCCTAAGATGTCCTTCCAAACTCCCACAGGCAGGAGAGTTCATCTGCCCCACCCTTGTCTCCTTGCAGGAAGGTCTCTCTGACCATCCTGTGAGCTGCCTGGGAGCCAGGACCACATGCCTGTCATCTTTGTAACCCTGCCCGGCATGCTCAGCCATGTTTGGGGCTCAGCAGATCTCTCCAGAATGGATGAATGAATGGGTAAATACCACCCTGCCCTAATGCACAGACTCAGCCCACGGGCCAAGTCACATTCCCAACACATGCAAAGGGCTCCCCTGGGCTGTCACCTGCTCGGGGGAGTCTCATCCTGATACATCTATCAGAGGCCATGTGGGGAATTCAGCACCAGAGCATGAAAGGCCAAAAAGGGTTACAGAGACAAAAAAGAAATAAAAAAAAAGAAAAACTCATTGCCACTGAGTCAACTCAATTCCGACTCATAGCAACCCTACAGGACAGAGTAGAACTGCCCCATAGGGTTTCCAAGGCTGTAATCTTTACAGAAGCAGACTGCCACATCTTTCACTCATGGAGCAGCCGGTGCGTTCAAACCACCGACCTTTTGGCTAGCAGCCGAGCACTTAACCACTGCACCACCAGGGCTCCTTAGTTAAACCCTCCTCATTTAAGAGAGGCCCAGAGACATGGGCGACTTCCCCAAGGTCATCCAGCAGCCCGAGTTCCAGGAATAGGGTCACGCCCGTAATGCTATCCCCGGGGTGCCAGGAGCCCTGCAGCTCAACAAGCCTCCAAGAGGCTGACCTCTGGCTCTTTTGGAATCCGGGGCATGGGTAGGGCTCCCCAAGTTCCTGTCCCTGCCTCCCCTGTCCTCCCCCAGAGGCTGCTGCCCGAACAGCTGGCACCTACCTTGCGCTTCTTGGCGCGGCCCTCAGCCTGCAATGTGCGGGTGCAGCGCTGCACGCACTCGGAGAAGCTGAGGTTGCTGTGGTCGGCACTGTAGTCGAGGTCAGCCAGGCGCGCCAGGGACAGGATGTAGTTACAAGCGATCCGCAGGATGGCCAGTTTGGACAGCTTCTGCCCGTATGAGTAGCACGGCACCTGGGGGTGAGAAGGCATCAGGAAGGGCTGCAGGTCCCCCTGCTGGGCACCTTGGCCAGCCACGCAGGCATGGGGCTGCTGAGGACAACCCCTGAATCTGGACCACCTGGTAAGGGAAGCTAGGCAGGAAAGGTGGCCTGGCTGAGGTGTATCTGGGCCCTTGGTCCTGCTTTTATTACCTGCTCTAAGCACCCACTGATGATGCACACATCACTCAGCTCATGCACTCACAAATTCTTCCTATTTTACAGGGAGGAAACTGAGGCTCAGCCCCTGCCCGCAAGCCAGTGAGCTTCCACATGACAGCTCTGCTCTCCACCCTCCCCGAAGGAGCTTCGCGGAGGGAAGAGACCTTTTTTTTGAGTTCTGATGTTCCAGTCATTCACTCAGAGTACTTGTTATGCTCAGCACCTTGGGGATCCAACAACGAATAATAACTTGGTTCCTACCTCAGAGAACTTATAGTAAAGAGTGACGTTACAATACCATAATGGAGACAGGCACCCGGGACTCGGGGACACACAAGAAGGAAAGCCCTAAGGCTCAGCTGGAAGGATACAAACACAGCTGGCTTTCTTTCTCTCTTTTTTTTAATTCCCTTTCTATATACCCACTGGACCTGGGGTGCTGCTGGACATACAATAAGTGCATAATAAATACTTACAGACCCAACCAGACTTGACATGTTTGTCAGAGATTCATCACCAACTGTTGTTATGCTGTCATTGTGTGTCATCGAGTCAATTCTAACTCATAGCGACCCCATGTGACAAAGTAGAATTGCCCACTAGGGTAATAAGATTAGGCTGTAATCTTTGTGGAAGCAGATCGCCAGGTCTTTCTCCCGCAGAGCCGCTGGGTAGGTTTGAACCGCCAACATTTTGGTTACCACCAAGAGCTTAACCTTTGCACCACCAAGGCTTCATCACCAACTAGACACTCACTAATTGCACAGGACTGTACAGGGTGAACACAGATGATGCCTCTCATTTTTTAACACTGTCCCCCAGTGTTTGCTGCATGAACAAAAACCCACAAAGACTGAAGCACACTTGAGCAGAGTTCCATGTTGTGATGTGGAAACATTACAACAAAATCCATCTGACAGGTGCTGACCAACAGATCCTACTGCTGTTACCACACACAGTTCACCTCAGTGGCTGAGACAGGTACCTCTCACCCAGCCAACCAAGACCCTCAGCTTCCCCCTCTCTATGTTCTTCCAGAATCTATGAGCAACCATACCACCAATATCTGGGACTTACCCTTATCCCACCGAGAGTGGGACCAACAGGGTACACCCATTCAGCAAATATTCGTTGTTGTTTTTGCTCGGTGCCTTAGAGTCAGTTTCAACTCATAGTGACCCTATGTACAAGAGAGCGAAATACTGCCCGGTCCTGCGCCATCCTCACAATCATTGTTATGCTTGAGCCCATTGTTGCAGCCACTGTGTCAATTCACCACGTTGAAGGTCTTCCTGTTTTTCGCTGGCCCTCTAGTCTACCAAGCATGATGTCCTTCTCCAGGGACTGATCCCTCCTGATAACATGTCCAAAGTATGCAAGACATAGTCTCACAATCCTTGCTTCTAAGAAGCATTCTGCTTGTACTTCTTTCAAGACAGTTTGTTCGTTCTTTTGGCAGTCCATGGTGTATTCAATATTCGTCACCAACTCCACAATTCAAAGGCGTCAGTTCTTCCTTGGTCTTCCTTATTCATCATCCAGCTTTCGCATGAGTATGAGGTGATTAAAAACACCATGGCTTGGGTCAGGCGCACCTTAGTTTTCAAGGTGACATCCTGGCTTTTTAACACTTTAAAGAGGTCTTTTGCAGCAGATTTGCCCAATGCAATGCGTCTTTTGATTTCTTGACTGCTGCTTCCATGGGTGTTGATTGTGGATCCAAGTAAAATGAAATCCTTGACAACTTCAATGTTTTCTCCGTTTATCATGATGTTGCTTATTGGTCCAGTTGTGAGGATTTTTGTTTTCTTTATGTTGAAGTGTAATCCATACTGAAGGCTGTATGTAGACTTTGATCTTCATCAGTTAAGTGCTTCAAGTCCTCTTCACTTTCAGCAAGCAAGGTTGTGTCATCTGCATAATGCAGGTTGTTAGTGAGTCTCTCTCCAACCTTGATGTCCCGTTCTTCATAAGGTCCACTTCTTGGATTATTTGCTCAGGGTACGGACTGAATAGGCATGGTGAAAGGGCACAACCCTGACTCACACCTTTCCTGACTTTAAACCATGCAGTATCCTCTTGTTCCATTCAAATCACTGCCTCTGGATCTATGTACAGGTTCCTTATGAGCACAATTAAATGTTTTAGAATTCCTACTCTTCACATGTTATCTATAATTTGTTATGATCCACACAGCTGAATGCCTTTGCACAGTCAATAAAACACAGGTAAATATCTTCCTGATATTCTCTGCTTTCAGCCAGGATCCATCTGACATCAGAAATTATATCCCTGGTTCCACGTCCTCTTCTGAAGCTGGCTTGAATTTCTGTCAGTTCCCTGTTGATATACTGCTACAGCCGCTTTTGAATGATCTTCAGTAAAATTTTACTTACGTGCGATATTAATGATATTGTTCGATAATTTATGCATTTGGTTGGATCACCTTTCTTGGGAATAGGCATAACTATGGATCTCTTCCAGTCTTCCAAATTTCTCGGGATAGAAGAGTGAACACTTCCAGCGCTACATTCGCTTGTTGAAACATCTCAATTGGTATTCCCGTCAGTTCCTGAAGCCTTGTTTTCGCCAGTGCTGTCAGGGCAGCCTGGACTTCTTCCTTCAGTACCATCGGTTCCTGATCGTATGCTGCCTCCTGAAATGGTTGAAGGTCGACCAAGTATTTTCAGTATAGTGACTCTGTGTATTCCTTCCATCTTCTTTTAATGCTTCCTATGTCATTTAATAGTTAGCAAATATTAAAATACAACATATGTTAATATAGTATACAACAAATATTTTAAAACAAAGCAAATATTTAGTGAGCAGCAAACCTCCTCCCTCTGCCCCCCATATGCAGGCACTGTTCTAGGCCAGTGGTTTGAAATCAGGGGCAATTCTGTCCCTCAGGGGACAGTTAGCAATGTCTGGAGATGTTCTTCGTTGTCACCACCAGGGATGCTGTTGCATATTCTACAGTGCGCAAGAAAGTCCCGCAACAATAATTACCCAGTCCCTTATGTCAACAGTGCTGAGGCTGGGAAACCCTATTCTAAGCACTGGGGATAAAGCACGCACAGGACAGTCACCTCAGATCAGGAATGCTAACTGCATCACCCACTCTGATCTCACTTGGAACTATATTGTCCAGGAGCTTTCCTGAAGCCCCGCTCCTACACCGTGAACCAGGCTGGCTGCCTGCCCTTAAGAGTGCTCACACAGCACCCATTCTGGCTTTAGCATCCAGTTATTATGGCTCGTTGAAGGTCAGCATCCACTGTAAGCCTTGGGGGGCCATGTCGGCAGAGCCAAGCATAGGCCTGCCCAGCCCGAGCCCTCAAAAGAGTTTGTGAGTGAGGGAATGAGTGAGTGAATGAATGAATGTTCTCCCTCCGTCTTCACTCAATGGCTCCAGAACCTGTCCTCTCTCTAAGGATGAGCACTTAGCACCCTCGTAAGAGATATCATATGGCATAGCGCTTAACTGCATATACCTTTTATACCTGGGTTCCACTCTGGCTCTAGCTCTTCCTAGCTATAACTCTGGGCAAGTGACACAATCTTTCTGAGCCTCAGTTTCCTCCCCATTTTGATAAAGGACTGGTAGGGATTACACAAGATGATGTATGCATTGCACAGAGTGAGGCCCAATGAGGTCAGCGTACTCACTACAGGTGATGCTACAGCAGGGCCCCAAGGAGGGGATGCAGAGAGGGTGAGAAGCATGAGATCCGGAGGCAGGACACAGTACCTGGCTAGCCCTCCCCTCTCCTCTCCCACCCACCCCAAAGAGGGGGCAGGGGGTCGCTGAGAACGGCAGCCCAGGCCAGAGGAAAGTTTGCTGTTAACCCACTGCCATCGAGTCAATTCCAACTCATAGCGACCCTACAGAACAGAGTAGAACTGTCCTACAGGGTTTCCAAGGCTGTAATCTTTATGGAAGTAGACTGCCACATCTTTCTCCCATGGAGCGGCTGGTGGGTTCAAACTGCTGACCTTTCCGTTAGCAGCTGAGCACTTAAAAGTCTGCTGTTAGTCTTTTTAAATTCTTCAGCAGCCAGGAAAGGCGTCCCTGGGTGGCACAAACAGTTAAGCGTTGGGCTATTAACCAAATGGTTGTGGTTCGAACCCACCCAGAGGCGTCTCAGAAGAAAAGTCTGGCAATCTGCTTCTGAAAGGTCACAGCCCTGGAAACTCTATGAAGTAGTTCTAGTCTGCACACATAGGGTCACCATGAGTTGACAGCAAGGGGTGTGTGTATACGTGAACAGCGAAGGAGTCACACCTCACCTGAGCTAGGAAACCAGGAAGGAGAAGGGAGGTGACAGAGAGAAAGCAGCCGCCGTGCATTGCCCCTTCCCATCTCCCACTCTTAGCCCCGGCTGCAGCTCCAAACTCATCCAAGAAAAGCTGGCAGAACAATGCACTTTGCTTGTTCCCAACCAGAGTCCAGAGAATCCTCTCCCGCCTCTGCTCCATGCTGCTGTATCAGCCTGAACAAATAAACAAGGTCTGTGGGACAGAAAGGTTCCCAGTAGTCCTAGAGCAGGGGAGGGTCTCGGCCTCCTCTGAACCCAGCCTGATGGAGGCTCAGGGGCTGGACATAGCTCGGAGACAGAGGCCCCTAGCATTGTTTTCCCTGAGAGGAAAAGCTGAGGGATTTCCTTAAACACCCGGCTGTTTGAGCCCCTGGCCCCTAACAGCTGGGCTTCCCTGTCGCTGAGAAGCAGGGATCCCGGGAGGGATCTGCACACTGGGATCCAGGGTCACTGGGGGACTACAGAGCAACAGACGAAGCCAAGGTCAAAATGC